TTCAATCCTAATAATTGAAAATCTATTAAGAGCTTATTAAAATAATAACATGTGTATTTTAACCTTAATTTTAAAAAATCCATTTTATAATCCAATTTATCACTTTCTCTAAGTAGTAAAGCAAAAGAAATCTCTCCCCACTAATAAACAGAACCGTAAAACCTTGTCATTCAGTCCTGGTAAAAAAGTAATCCAACTGATAGCTACTAGAAACCACAACATATATTTTAACCATAGTCAAATAAGTTCACTTTGTAAATGTTGTTTACTTTTAAAAAGCTGGATCTTTAATCCTGTCAAATAGAGTCCCACAACATGAATTTTTTTCATTTTCTCTTTTGTCTCCTTTCAGGAACAACTTCAGTAGTTTCTCTTTCTCCTCTCAGAAACAGCTACATTGGTTTAACACATTATTTTCATAAATCCAAAATAAGAAGGCTTTCCAAGTCACTCTTCTGATTTACTATTTGTATGTCCCCTTTAATTATTGTAACATCAGCTGGTTTCATTTGTAAATCCATTTGGGCATCTTTTTCCATATCACTCTTATACTCTGGCATTTTAAAATCCATTTTCAGATCCACAGCATCTTTTTCCATATCACTTTATAATCCAGCATTTTAATTCATATTTAAATCAGCCTCAATCTCTTTTTGTCCTATAAAATCTGTTGTTCTTCTATATCCTCTGTTATAGTATCAGACAATCTTGTAAGTAATTTCTGAGTACATTGTTCCCAAACAGTCTTTATTTCTTCTATAGTCAAATAATATTGCTCCATTGTATTAATAGGTCTCTTCTCCTTTAATTGTAATTGTTTATTTATATCCTCTGTTATAGTATCAGACAATCTTGTAAGTAATTTCTGAGTACATTGTTCCCAAACAGTCTTTATTTCTTCTATAGTCAAATAATATTGCTCCATTGTATTAATAGGTCTCTTCTCCTTTAATTGTAATTGTTTATTCTCTCTGGTTTCCCTCTAGACAACTTTCCCTCTTATCATGTTTATTTTTCAGTCAACAAAACTTTCACACCAGAGGATTTCTTACATACAATTAATTTCAGAAACTTCATATATTCTTTCATAAATTTTAAACACCCCACAGGAAACATTCTTTCAAGTCCTCTTCAAAATCCACATTCTAGTCTCCCTTTTGCTGTTTCCAAAAAGTAAATCTTTTCTTTTTAATCGTTACAGAAAATTTAAAGTCAAATAATTCTGATACAAAGAAATTATCTAAAAAGTTTAAATCGAAACAAGGACAGCTGAAGAAAAAAAGCAAAAATATAAAGAACTATAAAACAAGTAAACTGACTGGAAAGCTAAAATTTAATAGACTGTTTAATATTATGGATGCACATAACAAAAAGGAAAAGACATTATAAAATAAGAAATCAAAGAGGACTTCAAACATAGACTCTGAAAATAATAACAGTATAAGCTCTATCTTAATGACAGCTGATCCTAGTGAGAAGAACAGAAAGTCAACTGCTTGTCAAACTCAGCTGTGGATGTGAATAATCTTTATGCCCTTTAGAGCAGAAGATTCAGCTATGGTTAACTCCAAATGTGGTAAATGCAAGAACGTCATTACTAAGTTACTTAATATATCCTGGAATCCTAAACCTGTACCTAATAAATTGGCTTTTATAAATTATCCTAAACCTAAAGGAATGTTATCTCAATTAGAATGGAAATTATACTTTGTTCAATTGAGCCAACATTTAATTCCATCAATCACTACAAATATGATTAGTAACACTGAGTACTTATTTTCTGTCTATCTTAAAGCAAGAGCAATTGTTACGTTCAAAACAACAGAAACAGCAGATGATATATTCGATCTTAAGGATTCTATTAATAAAAAATCTATCATAGTATCTCATTTTTACAAAATACAACCCTGTAAACTTAAAGACCAGCTAGTCAAACCATCAGGGAAAATAACTAATCAAGCAATGAAATGTAACAATTTAATGTTCGCCCCAATATGGAAGCAAAAGGCACAAGAGAAACAAAGAGATTGCAGAATAAACCTAACACTGGGTTTGCTTCAATTAGGTAACAAATGAGATACTTGGAGGCCAATGAATTAGGTGGTAACCCAGTCAATCCAGTGGTCTTTATAAGGGACCCTAAATCCACCCAAAACTCACTGGTGAGTAATTCTAGAAGCAGGAGTCACTGTGCTATTTTCAATAAAGAAGGATTACTAAATTGCATTGACATTGATGACTACTTTCAGAATTTAACCCTAAGCACTCAACTCTGACAATAATTTCCTGGAATATTGCTGGTTAGTTCAACAAATGTAATGATATTTCTTTTACTCAATATTTAAGCAATATTGATATTATTCCACTATAGGAAACTTGGGTTCACAATTATCTTTAACTCCAGGGCTTTACTCCATTTATTGTAAAGGCTTCTAGAACTTCCAAGAAAGGATGCAGGCTTAGCAATCTTTGTCTCAAGGGCTTTAAAGGCAGAGACAACCTTAGTAGGGCACTATGAACAATATGCTATTACAATACATTTAAAATTAAAACATTTTGATTTAATAATCATAAATAATTAACTTCCACCAGCTAAAACACAATTCCGAACTAAACATATTTGGACAGAATTGGAACAATGTATATACAATCTACTTTTAAAATTCCCTCATACACATTTTGTGATTCTGGGCAATTTAAATGCCAGAATTGGCCCTAATAATGAAGCATTGGTAGCCAAGTTTCCTCACTTATCTGTCAAACGTTGGGAAAGTGGATTGCATGACAGACAATCTAAAGATCAGAACTTTAACTACGCAGGACCTTGTTTAGCCAGTCTTTGCAATAAGTTAAATTTAATAATTTTAAATGGTTCAATGGGACATGATTATCCTGGTGAATTCACGTTTACTTGTGGGTGGGAAGCAAGTATGATAGATTATTGTTTAACATCGACCAATTTATTTCCCTTGGTCAGATTATTTAATGTTGGCTCCAGATCAGATAGTGACCATCAACCTATAGTTTTAAGTTTGTTAACCAATGATAAAGAAATTCATCTAACCCAATATTATTCCTGAGAGGTTCTTCAGGAAGGCAATTTCTACTGCAGGATTTCTTGGGCAGAACATCTAAATAATTATTTAGCTACAGTTTTAAACTCTACTCAAGCTTTAGATTTTAGATCATGTATATTAAAAGATGGGAGTTCTTTTAATATTTTAACAAACCTAATCAGTATAAGTCTAGTATCTGGAGCATCCGCTACATCAAATCAAAGAAATACTCGGCTGAATACCACTTCTAGTTGGCTTGATGCAGACTATGTCGCAGCTAAGAAAAAATTAAGAGCTCTATATTTAGCATACATAAAGTCTAATTTACAACATCCCCCTTTAAAATATTATGAGTTGAAGAAAAATTATAAGATACTATTACGTCAGAAGAAACAGCAGAGAGATATTCCTGGTCATTATTAATAAATGCTTCTCTGTATAAAGACTCCAAAATCTTTTGGAAATTAATTTCCAAGGCTTCCACTGTTCCCTCTGTTCCAGACTGTTGTATACCATCTAAAACCTGGGGAAAATATTTTAAATCAATGTTTATGGAGCAGGTGCAACCTGTCACAAATATAGCAAATAACATTAAAGTTACTTACCCTTCCACAGTGGGAACCAGTGCTAGAGGAAGAGATTACTGTCCTTATATCAAAAGTAAAATCTGGCAAGGCTCCTGGTCAGGATAATATACCTATTGAACTCCTCAAACAAAATCTACATTGGTGGGGACCCTTATTAGCAGCCCTATTCACTGCAACAGATAGCTCTGGTTTAATCCCCTTGGGCTGAAATATGGCTATAGTAGTCTCCCTATATAAGAAGGGAGATATAAAAACCCCTGCCAATTATAAGGGGAAGTTATCCTGGGAAAACTTTATGCAAGACATTTAAATGAAAAATCAATTTCTTACCTTGAGGAGCATTCTGTTTTAACAAATGCTCAGGCTGCTTTTAGAAAAGGCAGGTCAACAATTGATCAGTGTTTTGTATTAGCCTGTTTGGCAAGGAAATACTCCATTTTCCTGAAAGGTAAACTTTTTGCTGCTTTTGTAGATTTTAAAGCTGCTTTTGACTCTGTTAACAGAACCAAACTTTGGGCTAAATTAGAAAATTTGGTTCCTGACAGGCGTCTTACATACCTAATGCAGGTACTATATCAAGATAGTATAATGCAAGTTAGATGCAACAGAAAAGGTTCACTTACAGATGATATTACAAAGAAGAAGGGAGTGAGACAAGGCCCCTACACTATTTAACATCTATCTCAATGATCTGGAGACCACATTACTTTAGGTTGAGGCCATTGTCCATCATTAGCCGAAAGGAAAATTTGTGCTTTGTTATATGCAGATGATACTGTTCCTCTTTCACATACCAGATTGGGCCTGAAACACCTACTTGAGGCACTAGTTAAGTATTGCCAAGAAAATCAATTACAAATTAACTATAATAAAACTTAAACTTTGGTTTTTGAAAAAAAAGTTGAAAAGTATATCTGGAAAATTCAAGTTCATATAATAACACAAGGAGAGAATTTTAGTTATCTGGGCATTTTATTTAACCATGCTCTAACCTGGCAACATCATTGTAAGGCAATACTTCTAAAAGCCAAAT